CAAAAACTGTGGGGTGAGGTCCTGTGACATCCACAGGCAGGAGATCTGAGTGACCTCTCCTGGCCCCAGCAGCTGCATGTGCCTGAATTTACCAAGTCAGCAGCAACAGCAACTCTCCTTTCAAAAGTCTCTGTGGAACATTTTAATTAGTTTGGTCTTATGGTTTGTCTAAAATGCTTCTGATACCACAGTGTATGCTGAAGCAGTGTTATGAATGCCTAAAAATATAAAATCTAATTATGGTAGCTCTGCAACCAGAGTAATGAGAAGCAAGTGTGACTGATAAGAAGTGAGACAGGCTAATGAGCTGAACCACTGTAGTTCAAAGGAAAACAGAGGTCTAAAGGAAGCACCTGTGGTATTGCTTGGGGGAAGATATGTGGACTAGGAAATAGGAACATACTGCATTAAAAAAGATATGGTACTAAATGGATACACAATGTTGCTAATCATTAGAGCAGATACTTAGCATATGGACAAAATAAATTGTTAATAAGGATGTGTAAGACTGGAGATGGTTGCTAACAAAAACACAGCTGGTGTAGTGAACAAGAAATTACCTGGTGCAGATAAGAGGAAGCTGTGACTCCAAGTGCTTGGATTCATTCTGCTGGACAGGCAGACCTCACTGAAGGCTGCATGGCCACCATACCCAGCCTTGTTTCTGAGCTGTTATCCTTCCTGAGCAACCACACATGGAGTGGCCAGCGAGACAGAGCTCCAGGATCAGAGACAGGGAAGGGAAAGTCAAAGCAGAGATCTTCTGGCATGAATGAGAAACAGGAACAGCGGGACACAACTGATGATTTTGCCTTCCTTCATGCAAAGAACATACTCTATCACAGCAGTGAATGCATCCACAGCTGCAACACATTTCCTGCTGGACTGTCAGCATCTGACCTGACCCTTCGCACAAATGCTTGCCCCCAAACAAGTCAGTAGCCCAGTGAAATACCAATGAATTTTCTGTGTTCATCTAGACTTTCCCAAGCTCAACAATTACTGATCAATTTATACTCTGTGAGCAGCAGTGAAAGCAAAGCATTTAGTAACAACTTTATTGTTCAACTGCTAGTAACAACTGTACTGTTCTGCTGCACACCAAAATTGCTGTAAAAGCAAACAGCACTGTGTTATGCAGGAGATGGTAAAAGCAAAGGAATGTTCCTGCCATTCTGCTACAAGCAGCACCTCACAGCAGGTTTTTGTTGCATGTCTGGGCCTAAGAAAGCCACCTCAGAATTTACCCTCCCACAGAAGTACAGAACCACAGAACTCTTTTGGCTGGAAGGGATCTCAAAGATCATCTTGTTCCATTCTCCTACCATGGGCAGGGACACCTTCCACTATCCCAGGCTGCTCCAAGCCCTGTCCAACCTGTTCATGGACACTCCCAGGGATGGGGCAGCCAAAACTTCTCTGGAGTTCCTTCTATCCTTGGATTGTTAAAATGCATAAGCAAGGGAACTCTTTCCTATGTGCATACATCACTGGGGGAATGGAGTGAAATACAGACCCTTTATGAGATTTCCTTTGCTCATTTTATCCAATTTGCATTAACAATAGATTTTTCTTGCTCTTACTGGTCTCCTGAAATGTTTGTCACAAGTTATATAATCAAGTATTAAACAGTGCATGTATATTTGTTTTAGTTCTCACTCAGGTTGTGATGATGAAGATCTTAATCTTACTAAGTATCAAAGCTGTAGACCTATTTAACAATATTCAGTAACTTTCTTTCTTACCCTGCTGCCTCCACATTAGTATTTTTAGCTGAGTGCTGATTTTCCAATCTGTCTAGGCTGTCATTCAAGACATGGGGAATACCAGAAATGGTGCATTTGGTTTTGACAGTACCCCAGACTGTTTTTTAAAAATAACCAAGGAAAAGACGTTACAGCTTTGTTTGAAAATATTAAATTTCCATAGGGATCAATAGAGGTGCTTCCCATATGCAATTTATTCACTAACAACTTTCATGGGTTTTATGAGACCATTCACCTTCTGGTTAATAGAAAATCTGTACTTGCCATGGCAACCCCTGTATCAGATGGCTCTACAGTAATACCCTGGAAATATACCATAGATTTTTTCAGTCCTCATAATCGATCTGGTCATAAATGTCATGGTAACTTGTCATTAAACTCTCCCCTCTAGCAACTCTGGTAGTTGTTTGATCCTTCCTGCCTCTCTGTCACACTGCTCCCTGTGCACAGCTGCATTGTTCTGCACTCAGCCTTTCCCCAAAGTTGTCACTTGCCAGCGGTGTCAATCCTCAGTGATCCTCGAGTGGGGAGCTGATGACAGCAGGCAGATTCACACACCCCTGCTGGTTAGAGCAGAGATCACCTCCAGACAGCTCTGATCACCAAGGGCAAGCCAAGAAGGGAAAAATTAAAAAAAAAAAATAAGAAGAGAAATTCTTGCAGTTTAATAGCAGGCTAAATTATTTGTCTGTGTTCCTCACGTGACTCCTTGGGTTTCATGTCAGGTTCACCAGCTGATGCTGGGAGATGCTGCCCTGGGGAATAAGGCAGACCTGTCCCACACCAACAGCGCTTGAAAGGAATGCCCTGTGCAAAGAGAATTGAGGAGATGTAGTGGAATTCAAATTTCATCAGCTCCTGACTGTCATGAGACTCCCAGTGCATTGCAGGCCTAATTCTTGCTGCCTTGCACTTTGCATTGCAATCGGAAATGTGAGTGTAAAATGCTATCACATCAAAATTAGCAATGCATTGACATTGACTGCTGAGAGGGAAAAATGCCAACAGAAGGGCAAATATTGGAACTCTGAACTAGGCATGTATTTTGAACAAATTTTGTAGTCTGGAAATACAACCAGATTGAAAATCTGATACTGGCTAGAGGTGACATTTTGCTAATGGTGAAAGTTAAAGTCAGTATATAAAAGGAGAAAAAAAAATTAAATTATCTGAATGAACTAGGAGCTAAATGAAAAGTTTATGCAATTAATCTAGAAAATAAATAAGGTAATGGTACTGCATAAAACTGCCCCAAAATGGAGTATGTTCTTTATAAGAGCACACACTGCAAAACACTGCATAGGAAAACGAGGAGGTTGTGGTGGGTCACACCCTAAAAGCTTCTGAAATGTATGTAGTACACTACAACCCTCCAAAAGCTGTGCAGCAGAAGTACAACAGATTTCATCTGCATATCTGGGGGTACTGATTAAAGTCCAGACTGCTAGAAGTGTATAAGTATTAGCAAACCCTTAATCCAAGTGTTAGATTCCTCTCATCCAATTCTTTCTCACATTATTTAAATGCACAGCAGTGCTGTGTTATCGATTGCAGCACAGCTGTTCTGGAGCCAAGCCAGAGTAATTCAGGAGGGAATCAGATCCATTGTGTGCCCAGTGCCCTCTCCATGGACAACTCATTATACTTACATTAACTAAGAGAAAGATTATTAAATATGAAAAATTTTAAATTTCCTTTACTATATTCAGACCAGTAGTAGTGAATCTGCCGAAGGTTTAGTATTTAGAAGAAGACACTTTCCAATGACAGAAAATAAAAAAGTTCTCAGCTGGAGAGCCTTGACTTTGTTTGAATCTTATAATTTAAGGAATCATTTTCTAAAATTACCTCTTGTACAGTAAAATGACAATGATTAGGCTTGCTATGTTACAGACCCCTGCTGTGCAGAACATTTACTCAGTGGGCTCAGGATACAAAAGTAGCTGCTTTACAAATAATAACACAGCTTAACTATCATTTAATAGCTTTGAAAACATCATACTAGTTACAAACCCTTTGGAACAAGGACAGCTAATTTCAGCATCTCAGTTGTTGTCATGATTAATCAATTTCTAATGCTGGTGGCTGTTTTTGTTTGTTTCTTTGTTTTTAATTGCTGGAAATTTTTAATTCCTGGTTCAAACAACTTAATTTCATAGGGTTTTTTTGATTAATCAGTGATCACTTGAGGGGAAGAAATTATTGAAGTTCATCAGAATGCAGCATGGAGAATCAATGTAATTTTGCAGAAAAGCATTTTGATTCTACCTTCCTGAGCAATGTGGCTTTAAACTCTAACACCTGAATGCAGAACTGGGAGGATTGTCTGGGTACGTGACTTTCAGGGATTCTTTGCTTAATTTACAGAGCTGATTTTCACTGCCAGAACTGAGGCTGTGTCAGCTCCAGGGCTGGTGTGCTTAAAGGGTGGGAAAATAACTCTTGCTAGAACAGATCTCCTGGCTCCAAGTTTTCACTTACACTCCAGGGAAATCTGCCTTCCCATCTCCTCTGACTGCCTTGTGCACTAATGTCTCCTTTTGGAAATATTAAAGTACACAGACATCATCTTGGTGAAGAAATTCTGAGAAAACTGTTAGCAGGAATTCAAACCCAACGTGAGAGTGCGAGCTACCTCGCAGTAAAAATAAATCTGTGAGGAGATCCTGTTCTCTGTTTTCTGCCCAGAATTTCTGCTTGTTCATACAGAATATCTTGATGGTCACCCTGAGACCACGGATGTGGTGAGAGGGGCTGCCAGAGGGGTGTGTGGTACCCAGCCTGGCAGGGTGCAGGAGAGCTCCAGAACTGCCCTCAGCAGCACACCCTGGCTGCTCAGATTGATGGGAGCTTTAGAAACCTTCATAAATAAAAATTCAGCCTTCAATAAGTCAGACAGACAAAGCAATGGGGTTTCTTTCACCCCCATTTGAATGCAAATCAAGTGTTTGACCTAATAAATAATTGTGATTTCCCATTTCCTGCACTCTGAGGGATCCAGTGCTTCCTACGCCATTAAATGAGATTGTGTTTAGGGAACCTCTATCCAACAACTAGGAAAGGGGATTTATCAGGGTCATTCAGTCATCTCCTCAGCATTTTTTCAGCCATGGCATTTTACCACTGCCTTTTTGTTTTACAGTCTTCCTAAGTAAAGGAGAAAATAAGAGATTTTCTTGTGGTTTTAGAATGGCACTATTTTTACATTTATATATAAATACAATCTTACCTGGGCTTATTTGCAGGAGCAGCTCTGAATTCAAGGTCTATCCAGACATTATTTGGACGCCCAGCAATAAATCCCTGATTCTAAGCTTCTATGTGTCTGCAGGGCCTTTACATTATCTGTAATCCAACCAGCAATAAAAATAATCATAAATCACTTCTGTGAACACAAAAGTACTGAGAACATTTGTAAAGGTCCAGAAACTCTCAGATCTAATTCTCATAACTGAAGCCTTCCCTCACAGGTAGGGCATCCCTACTCCTATAATTAAAAGTGCCCACATGTCTCCTCACACCACCAGCCTCCCTCAGTCTATCCACCAGCTGCAATCCTTTCTCAGTGTTTTAACACTGTTAAACAAGATTATCTATATCAAGGCAGTCTTTGTTCACACCTCACCAAATACAGCAGCAGGTTCAGCAAGGCAGTAATCCATATGAGACACTGACTCACTTTATTCTTTGTTAGATAACTTAGCACAGAATCCTCAGTGGACCCTTTTCCAAACAAATTCCTTCACTGAAACATACCTGGGGATGCTCAAACTCATAATTGCAGCATTCCATGTGATAGAGAGGAGCGTGGAGGCATTAATGTTTTATTTAGTCTGAAATGAGTTGTTTTAGTTGCAGACACAGTGACATCAACATTTTTGGTTCTTATCTCTCTTTCAATGGCTATAAACTGGTTCATTTCTACTGCTCTACTCTGATTTGATATTTATCTGATCTAGGTCAGAATCTGGCCTAGTGGGATCTTAGGAAAAGTAAAGCAGCCCAAAATTTACTCCTGACTGGTGTGTCTCTCATGCCACTGAAAATGTGCTTATCTTTAGTCAATATATTTCAGATTTCTGTCACTTTATTTCATGATAGAGAGGAGCGTGGAGGCATTAATGTTTTATTTAGTCTGAAATGAGTTGTTTTAGTTGCAGACACAGTGACATCAACATTTTTGGTTCTTATCTCTCTTTCAATGGCTATAAACTGGTTCATTTCTACTGCTCTACTCTGATTTGATATTTATCTGATCTAGGTCAGAATCTGGCCTAGTGGGATCTTAGGAAAAGTAAAGCAGCCCAAAATTTACTCCTGACTGGTGTGTCTCTCATGCCACTGAAAATGTGCTTATCTTTAGTCAATATATTTCACATTTCTGAGCTTTATTTCATCATTTTAGAGATTTTCATTGTCATTCCTAGCAGCTTGACCCTTTAGCTCCTTTAGCTATTTTGACACTATTATACTGTTAATATCATGATGAGCTCTTATATCTTATAGTATTGGCTTTAAAAAACATGAGGCAAATGTTTGGGACTTGATGCTGAGAAAAGCCCAAAAGCATCAAAACACGTGCAAGGAATTAGCTCTGTCATGGAAAATAAAAAATTGTTACCCATTACTCCAGAATTACCTGTATCCCTAAACTAGAAAAAATTCAGCATATCCATCCCAGTGGGGAAAAAAAAAAGAGCATCTAAAGAACAAAATAGAATCCTGCATCTCTAGTTAGTTCCCTGTTCATTTTGAGTTTATATTTGCTCAAGGGACTATTTCAGTGTTAAAACATAACTCACAGAAGACACAGGAGATAAAAGAAGCTGAAGCATTTTGATGGAATATTTCTCAAAGGGAAAATTTGTTTTTGAAAGTCTCTTTTTAAGCCTTCTTTAAACCTCTAGGTCCTGTGCATTGTGCTTTTTCGTAATTTTTTCCCAATTTTGATTTTCACTGCTCTTTTTTACAGGCTGTGAACTCTCTTGAGCATTTCAGACCTGCCTTCTTCATCTTTTTTTAACCTGAGGGCTTTAAAACTCTGGAAAGTAAAAAAATATTAAAAAAAATAAGCCTGGAGATAGACAGAAGAACAAAAATGACCACAGGGTGTCTGGAAGAAAGTGGGGAAATAGATTATTATAGAAGAAAGAGAAAGGGGGTACTTCCAAGAGAAGAGTGCAGTTACCCACTATTTTCACCATCCAGAAGCAAAGTATTTAAGGACCAAATTCAGATAAAAACCATAACTCTGAAGTTGCTTGGACAGTGGATACATTTTTATAGATCCATAAAGAGTTTCTGCTATTCCATCTTTTGTGCCTCTGAACTACAAATAGCCATATAATTCCCAAATAAAAAAAAAAATAATCCTTCATTGTCATTCAGTTTTGTTTTTGTGAATTTGTTCATTGAATTGTGCAAGAACAGCCATAATCACCTGGCTGGTTGGGAGACCAATGTGAGCTGAGTCCCACATCCCTGTGGTTTTGCTCTCTGGCACTCTGGGTCTGGGTTCCCTGGCTCAAGCTCCTCTGCTTCAGCTTCAATCCAGAAGCCTTGGCTTTATTCAGATATTGAATTTTGGCTCTCAGCTCCGTGGTGAAAAGCTGCAGACCCAGAGATTTTGTTACAAAAAGCAGCACTCTGGAATTGCTGCCTCCATGCTGGGCAGCCAAGGAAAGGCCTTGAGGGTCTGCAGCCCCTTGCCAGTCAAAGATGCTGGATTTGAAGGTTACCCTTTCCTGCAAGGCTCAAGAAATCATGTTTCACACTGGAAAAAAACAAGGAAAAGGAACAGGGAAATTATGGTGCTTGAGTATTTTAAAATTGTTTTCTCAGTCTTTTCAAAATGTTATAACTTCTAATAGAAAAAAACTTAAGAGTTTTCAGGAACTTTAGTTAAAATTGACTAAAATTCAAAAAGCCTAAAGTTCAAAAACTCATTTGTTACTCAGCCATCAACTCCTCCTGCTCCTCAGCAATCAGTTTCACTGCAGGTTACTGATACACTGCCTTGATTAAGCTAATGATGAAATGAAGATAGTTTCTTTTTTTGCTTGTATACTCAACTGTAGAAGGAACATGTGATAGCTGTAAATTATTTATTATTTGGAGGTGAGGGGATGGCAATCAGTAACTGCACAGTTTGTGCAGATTATTCTCCTCTAAGGTCTAATGTGAGCAATATTTGATTATTTGGCAGATCATTTCAAATGTGACTGTGAAAAAATGATGCAAGACTCAATATGTTTCAGCTTGTAAGCTCTACCCAATTAGCTTTAGGACCACAGCATGAGAAAACTAACATAGGTCTTTCATTATAAGAGTAAGGCAGACTTTCAAAATATGAATCAATAGTTTCAGAGATATTCTCCTCTTGCAAACAGACAAATGTCAAAAAGGCATACACAGAACAGGAATATTATGCTAGAAACTGTAGAAAGCTGATCTCTTTCATAAATTTTATCTCTTTTATAAATCTTGAGCCATCAGCAAATACCAGAAAAGCAGCAGTTTTTGCACAGCCCACACCCTGATGCACCAATGTCACTTCACAGGACTCCCTGTGCCCCTGCTTTGCCACGCTGTGTTTGGGCAGCCCCTGACAGTGGGACCACCTTTAATCCAGTAATTCCAGAAATGCAACACAGAACACGTTCCCCAGCTCAGGAAGGCAAGGAAACCAGCTGCACTCTGTCTGAAACTCCCATGGAACAGATTTTAAACGTGAAAAAATTCATAGGGTGAGTTTGCTTCTTAGAAATCAGACATAACCAATTTTAAGTCCCAAGTTTTCCAGTGAAGAACAGATAATGGAAAATTCTGGACTGATTCCACTAAGAGCTTGTGCAATTCAGTGGCACACTTCCATATATTCATAAATAATGACTGACAGCACCTAACAAACACAAGAGGAAAAAGGACAAATAAGTCACAAGAAAACCCAAGTGCATTTTCAAATTCTGCCAGAAATGCCTATAATGGAATCTCCTTTTTACCAAATTACTTTGTTATTGTAAATTGCATATATATAATTATAACTATACTTTAATATTAGTATATACAATCAGTAGATATAATATATAGTATATATATAATACATATAATTAGTATATAAAACTATAGCTATATATTTTTATATTTTAATTATTCTAAAATGATTAAATTATTCTATAACTTAACCATTATATTAATTAATATAAATTAGTAATATTATTAATGAATGACTAATTAGATCACATTATATTATACGTAATATCTTATCACAATATGTAGTTTTTGTATATATAATTATAATTAAATTTGTATATTAGTATAATTATATATTTTCATTATTTTTGTTCTGCACAGTGCCAGTAAAGAAAGCCTGGTTTGCTTATTTGGAAGAATAGCTTAAAAAGTTTAGTTGCCTACAGTAGTTAGATTTGGAGGTCTCTCAGGCAACATATTACTTGAATTCTCTGAAAACAGTGAGATTTTTCACAAATAATGGAAATCTGAATGAATTTCTATGGTAGAAATCAAAATATTCTCTCAAATATAAGCACGTTAGGGTTACAATTCCAGAATATGCTCACAAGAATCCATAAAGAAATAAATAAACCTGGTGAAAAATTTTGACTAATTCATTTCCAGGGGGGGAAAAAAAATGTTCTAGCACACATTCAGAGTTCAGTCACCAAGAACACTGATTTTTAAAGAATATCAGGAGAATGAAGAAATACACACATTTCCATTTTTATACTTTCAAAATAGGATATCCTTGGGTTCAAGGCTGATTTACTTTTTTAAATGTTAATACATTTATCCCTGAAAAAATTCAATATTATCCATATCAACAGTTTGCAAAAAGTTACAATTTTCATGAGAATTTCAGACCGAAATGGCTGAATATCACAGAAGCACACAGAACAGTAATTTTTGCAACAAATCACTTCAAGACAAATTAAAAAAAAAATAAAATTCAGTCTGAAAACAGAGGAGATTAAATGAGCAGGTGAAGGGCGACAAGTACCATTGAGCTGCCTCCTCCTGAAACACAGGGCAGGGGCATGAGACTTAAAGAAAGAGATTTTCAGGAGTTTCTCTTCCCATATCTGCTGGAAGCGATGCCCTGCAGAAGAACAGAAAGACTCACATGTCCTGCATCTTCCTGACCCACTTTTTTTTTTGAGATGATGCCAATTTTTCAGTGTAAAATAATGGGGGATGAGGGAAAGGGAAAGAAAACAAGCCCTTCTACATCAATGCAAGGCTTTCAGGGAGATGTAGCATGAATATTTCATGCTCACAGTCTCATCTATATGCTCAGCTTCCCAGCTGACACTATAGTTTCCATGATG